ACAGTACGAGCTTTTTTTTTTGGGGGGGGGGGTGAAACTGGGTAATTTCTTAATTCTTTTATTGACAATATTCCATTTCACCAATGTTTTGCTCACGAGATCTATCTTAGCATAATTTGTTATATTGTAATATACCTTTTACTATAATTATGTGCAAAGAATTCAATAATACAGCATTTTTTTTTTCAAATATTAATATACACTCGTTGGATGCCTCTTACGCTAGTGACCTCTATTGGCACGAAATTCAACTATGCTCAGCTTGACAGTTGTATGTATAATTTTGTGAAAATGAAATAATTAACATTTAATACAAGCTTTTTTATTATTTCAGCCATAATTCTATCTAAAAAGATTACAAGTGTGGAATATTCAACACATATTGTCAAGGTTATTAATCTGGGATACCAGAATATCGTGTTTTGAAAAAACTAAAGGTCGATATCCCCATGTGGTAGAAACACTCATAAACTATCTTCTCGTATTCTTGCTATTGCGACATAGTTTAAGGACATTAGTTATAAGTTGTAGTTTTAGCCATAAATAAATATAAATTCTTTTTTTATTTATTATTTACAATAATATAAAGAAAATAGTTGTAAAGATATTTTAGTCGTTTTTAGTTTTTTATTAATGACACAATCATTTTTAGAGTTCAAAATGTGCTCCTATTGGTTACGTTTAGAACTAAAAACCAGAAATGTACATTAACCTTCACCGCCCCCTAGTGGCTCAGTGGCAAGTCGGTGAACTTATAACTCTAAAATTTGGGTATCAACACCACGGTGGGCAAAGCACAGATAGCCCATTGTATATTTTTGTGCTTTAAAACAAACATAACAAACTTCACTGTTAAAAGTTTGATCATTTTAAGAATGCCTTTACTCTAGGTCAGTTTATCTTGGCACATTTTAAGCCCGAAATTTGCTGTATTTCATCTGGTTTATCAGTTCAAAATTGGAAGGGCTAAGCACAGATAGCCCTTGTATAGCTTAGCGCAAAAATAAAATAAAAAATTGCTACATAGTTTTCAATATTCAAGTAGTTCTTGAAGTCAGATTGTTCACAGGTGGTTTTATCTTCTGCCTTGCAGTAGTAATTAATAGGTACAACGTATAATATCCTTTCAATATGTGTATGTACTAACACTGATCTATATACAACCTTTGAAGAAGTTTGTGGATAGTTTATGCGCTAGAACTGGCAGTTACGTGGTTTAAGAAATAAAAAAGAAAGATGTGAATTCCTATGATAACAACTCTCATTACATATTGATATATACAAGAATATGACAATCTTATCATTTCCACGAAAGGGGGCCGAAAGCCGCCTGGAAGGATCACTCGCACCACTATACAGTAGTGTGTTATCTGTATGTCGGTCATTAGACACTAAAAATGACGTCACATAAGTGACGCTTAACGTTGCAATTTGCACTGTCATATACAGGTATGGAAGATTGATGTAATATATATATATTTGGAAAATAGGTGGGCATTCAATGCTTTCAATATATACATATATATTATAAAAGGCGCCACCATCGTTTTATTTGCAATGTAAGGTTGCGAAAAAATGTTGCCCCCAAAGCTTGCCATGGGAATAGTTCGTTATGTAGAGTGGCTCGAGGAGCTAGCCAATGAAAATAAAATCAAATTATCACACACACAAAATCCTGCCTCGGATGGATACAGTTATTATTATGCGGGCACACATCGAGTACCTGACCTCAAGCCGTTCATCCGCCTGAAAAAATAGCGCCCACACAGCAAAGCTTGTTGTAAACAGCATCTTGGCCACTATTATTTACTTATTTTAATTCCCAGGTTTTGTTTCTCGAAAGTTACACTGCTTCATCTTCTGTGACCACGTTCATAACCAACATATATAAAAAAAAAGAAAAAGAAAAACGTTTGTAGGTTTTCTTTTATAAACCCAAAATAAAAAGCTTACGAAGCTTTCCCACTCACACATACAAAGTGACTGTTACCATCGTCTCTCTTCGTTTGATTATAACTAGTATTCTTTAGACTTTAAAATGGGTTCGGTCTTATTGTTCAACGTTGTCCTTTTCGGCCGTATCTTTTGCAATTTTCATCATTTCCTGAACTTCTAAAATTCAATTTCTGTATTTTAATATTCATGTTTATTTCTTCAGTCTTTTTAAAGTGAGTCGCAGAATGTGGCGTTACCTACTGGGGTTACAAGGTCTTTAGGTCTAATACCGCAAATTTTTCAGCGCTTATGTGTACCTTACTGAAATATGATAAATAGTTACACATGATCGAAGTAACAGAGCACATCCATCACGCATAGAAAACAAATCTTTCTCGTGGATTGTACTAGTCTAAAGAATCGTGAATATACATCTTCAGCAGAAGTGTATATTAGAATTTATTCTTTTGTCAGCTGGTAAGCCTAATACGTTTACACAGACGAATGAAATCAATGTATTAGGTTGACAAGAAATTAATGTCACTTTTTTTTAGATAAAAAAACCTGAACAACTTATCACAAAACATTTATTAATTGAAATAGTCTCCATTCTTGTCGATGATGCTTTTTCAACTTATAATCAGGTTGTTAATAGCCCTGATTAAAGAAATCACTTGGCTTTGAAGCAA